TGGACAGCCGAGCTGCAAAAGTTCAATTTTTCTCATCCGCTAAGCTTCACAAGTGTTAGAAGGAAATCCATACAAAATAACAACACAGAGATGCCATACTCTGGAAATTCTAAATCTTATGACCACCTCCAAGAGATTTAACAAAGTGTAACAGAATATATATATAGATAGACAGCATTTGCAATGATATTCAAAGCCTATCAAAGCTAAAAGCGCCCTTTTTTTCGCAGAATGGAACTTTGAAAATTATTGACAGTAAAAAAAAAATAAGCTTTCCCACGTAAGAATACAAAATTTTTGTGACAAAAATTTAGTATTCTTACTAAATTTTGCGAGAAAAAGGGCGCTTTTAGCTTGATAAAAATATAGACCTGCCAAGCATGCAAGAGTTTTATTTTGGATGGGTGAGTTACGAAGATATAACTAACGGGTGTTTACTTACACAAGAAAAAGAGCTTTAACTTTCGAAAGCTAATGTTCCATCGAAAATACTGTTAAATGGAGAGCACAATTAAAAAAAAACCCCTCCAATTCATATGAAATAAACTCAGTGTTTTTTAGTCTATTGTCACTGGTTTCTGATTAATGTAAGCAAAACTAAACTGCATTCATTTGGTACCATGCGTAAGGAAGAATACAATCTCTTTTGTAGCTGTTGATTGGTCTCGTCACGCAACGCACTTCCTCCCCCATTCCGTGACGAGAGCAAACAACAGCTGCGAAATAGATTTCGCTAGCCTGCGATCCAGCCTTAATCATAGGCATTTGGTGAAAAGTTTTCAATGTCGGTGGTAACGAAGAGTACATACAAATCGCACAGTATTGCTAAATTTCACATGAATTCAAGGCGGGCAAATCTATTTTTATTTGATAAGTTCATTTTGCGCGCTTAATTTATGGGGAAAAGCAGAACTTGCGTTCCATTTTCAGGTTCCTAAACACCTTCTTTTGCTTTTTACAAATTGAACTTAATCTTTACACTTGCTATCCGTTCTTTTCTCTTTGGTTTACCAATTTTTCTTTCTACTATCAGGTTTTCGCGTCTTTCTCACAAGGACTATTTCCATTCATCTTTGTTTTGCAGAGAAAGTTCTTTTTCAGTTTCTTACTTTTGGTTTCATCAATCATACAACAATAATATCAAACAAGACAGGCTTCTTTTTTAAAAGATTAGTACAAAAAACGAGTTTAGAAATAACATTTTCCGCGTTAGAAATG